GTTTGTTAGGTTCGATCCCCATGTCTGCGGGGTAGTAATCTGGCAACGGTACGTACTGGGCTAGCTCCTTTTCACATCAGAAAAGGAGCGGTCCTTCTATATGAAGGGCTCCTGGCACCCAGCATGCCCCTTCCCAGTGCCTAGCAGGCAGAGCCTGCTCGTTGCCGTGGCCGGCAGGCCGGGTCAGCAGCCGATAGCCTTAGCAGCTGCCCTACCCAGTCGGCCCCGACACCTACACCTCTAGTCCTTAGCGCAAACGCCCTATGGGCCCTGAGCCATTCCTTCACGCCGCCGTCCTTGTCGCGGCGATCCCTTTTTGGCCTGCTTAGGCCCTGAATCGCGCGGCTTAACAGCCGCAAGACCTCACCATAGGTAGCCTAGGCTTTAACTTCCCAGGTCGGGACGAAGCATTAGTAATGTATTCTCAAACATTGATACTTAATTGTTGCTCATCCGTCTCCAAGAACCCATCCACAGGAACTGAGTCTTCTGACTGATCTTTAGAAGAGTCTCATTCGATCTGACTCAATCCATCGGCTCGATTTTGTGCTCCTGCAATGCGCTCGATCTCAAAATCGAACATCCAGACATAGATCAACCATCGAGCAATAGTTGGTTCCGAGGGGGAATAATTCTTCAGTGACTGCGCCAAGGCAGTCGGATCCACCCGCAAAACAAACCGCCTTCCAAACACATAGTTCCGGAAGATCCTCAAACAATGAAGCACTGCAAGGGTTCCCTTCTTAAATTGGGAATATTTCCTTTCCGCCTCATTCAGTGTTCGACTCTCAAATCTCAATGGCCTTTCTCGCCCTTCTCCATCTTTTTGGATGAGGACACCACCCAATGTTGTGGGGTCTGCATCCGCTTCAACCACAAAGGGCCGATTCGGGTCATTGTCAAAGCACGGAACCCCCAGGATCAATCCCCCTTCTCGGAATTGTGCCTTGATGTCGTCGACAGCCGCCTGCTGCTTTGGACCCCATTCCCATTCTTGATTTTTACGCACCAACTTCCGTAGGTGCTCCACCCTTGCTGCGAACCTGCGAATGAAGGTACGCCAGAATCCGCAAGTCCCCAAGAAACTGCGCACATAAGTGATGGACTTAAGCGGAGTCGGTCATTCCAGAATCTTGTTTGTCTTCTTGGAATCTGGCCGACGACCTTTCTCATCGCATAAGAAGCCCAAGATAGTCGCCTCACGCATACAATGTCGAGATTTGACACCGTTGGCGGTGAGGTTATACTCCTTTAACTTGGACAAGACCTTCTCCACGTTACGAACGTGCTCCCAAACAAACTTTCGAACGCCTGGCAGCACTTTCGTCTCGTCCTTGACACGTGGCCCAGGAATGGCCAAACCATCGATATAAGGTGAGGTCACGTCCGGACAAAGCGGCTGCATGACCCTCATCATATATCTCTGAACAATCGCTACGGCGTTCGTCCATCCTTGAGGCGCCGCACAAATATGAATTAATCCCCTCGGCGTATGCATGGCCGTCATCGGTCTGTCTGTCGTATAGAGAGGGAATTGATCATATCCTGAGTACAAGTCAATGAAAGTGATGATAGGCCTGCATGCGCACGACTAAGACAGCTGATCGGCATGTGAAAGTCCTCCGGCATCATGAACCGTCACTGAGTTCAACTTCTGCAAGTTCTGCATCCATCGCAATACGCCACTTGGCTTGATGAAACAAAACCAAAGGGACGCATATGGTCCATACGAGTAATCCGCGACCTTTGTCCGAATTTTACCGTCCAAATATTCGACAACTCTACGATGATCATCCGGATTCGGATAACRCGGRCCTYGTATGTTCCACGGCTCGTGAGGTACCGTATGAATCCTGATCATTGGAATCATGTCAACGTCAAGCCTCCCTCGCTCATCATCATCAAAGGCATAAGCCAAGTGGGTTTCTTCATGACGCTGACAAGGAAGTCCACCTCCTTCTCAGTAAGAGACCTTTCCTCTCCAATGATCATATTCTTAATTCTCTCATCCGTTAACCGACATGGCGCCTTCATACTTCTTTCCTTCCTCATCCTGATCCATTCTCTTTCTTCTTTATAATACACTTCTTCTTCTTGCGTGATCAAGACGGGCACTGGCCGAGCTTTCTCGCCTACTCTCTTGTACTTACGTTTCGCTCCAACTCCAAGTCGTCCACCTCTAAAAAAGGTCCTTGCTTGGCTGCTGGCTCTGCCAATACCTCACCTTCAGAAGACCTATCTGGTCGATAGGTAAGATACATCTTACCAGTCTCGCCTTCTCCTGCCACAATCTCTGTCAATGTTTGGACCAGCTTGGGGTCCACGGACGATTCTGTCGCAACGAACTCGATCGCTTGAGAGATGTAGGGCAGAGCAAGAGAAAATTTTTGGGGATCGCTCTCTTCTCCGAGGGATTCCTTCTCCCTCCTGAGTCTTTCGGATTCCGTGAAGGAGTAAGACCCCGGATTGAGTCGGTTCCTTGAATTGGTTGGTCTTGTGTTCTCACACTTCATCACTTCGTAATAGCCACATACGGGGTCGCACAAAACCACGATCATAGTACCATCATGCTTATTGAAGATGATGGATTCTGACCGACATAGGAAAACTCTGCCTAGCAACACGGTAGGCACAACCCTGGGTAGCACATAGAAGTATGAACGAACTTTGACTTTACCAACTTGTATCACCACGTCACTCGTCGTTCCGCAAAAAGGAGTTATCCCACTTGCACCCACCAAAAATCCAGTATCCGCTCGATTGATGTTGACGCCTGCCCCCAGGGCTTCTCTCTCACGTATAATGTTCATTTCAGCTCCATCGTCGATGGGCGCCGAGTATTCACATGGCCCAACTTGCACTTTCAACAACCCAGTTGCTACACAGTGCCAGTCCATTTTTGTCCCATGAGGAGCCCAACTAATCTCTTGAGGAAAGATGTCACTCATCTTAACGGTCATAACCTTCTTCCTTGACAATCGGTGCTTGAACTCTTCTCGGATTTTGGGTGACGCGACCAAGAACTCCTTGAGTGTGAACAAACCGCGCTGGCTTTCCAAAATCTGGTCCACGATTTGCTCAATATCCAGCCCCGGCTCTACTGGAATTGTGTAGACATGCTTCTTCTTTTTCAGCTCTCCTTCCTCAACATCGGTCTTGCCTGTTTCTAGTTTTCTCTCCATGGCCCGTTGTTTGGCCTGCCGCTCATCCTCGGCCCGCAACAATTCGTCCTCCTTGCCATCATCTTCCTCAATCGCAATTGTCACGCTTTCCCGAGGCTGACTTGGCCCTTCTTTTGGCGCTGCCCTTGGCCGCGGCGGCCTTCGAGCCCTCCGAGCTTGTGGGAGGCCAGCGGTGGCATGTCGCTTGAAAGCAGGACGGGACAAGACCGTGGTGGCCATTAAACGCCCTGCCGACGGCGATCCAGGCTGTGATGTAGTAACATCAGTAAGACCTCCTTGGCCATCTCTGTCCCATCCCCCGAACAGAAAAACTTGGGGAAGCCCAGACCACTCTTCATTCATGTCGGCACATACTTGAACAAAAGTTTCCCTGCATCGAGTCATTTTTCTGACCACTGCCTGAGCTCGCTGCAGTATCTCTTCCTGCTCTTTGCTCAAACCTTCATCTCCGGCCTTAGCATCTTCAATCGTTAACGACTCCATCGCCGCTTCCAACTCAATCTGTTCGACTTCTTCCGGGGAAGTCAGTCGAAAAGTTGTTGGAAGATCTCGCCCCATACGTCGGAAGGCTTCCTTTCTCATTCCCCCTTCCACATTGGGATCGATGAGATTCCCTTCGAAGTCGTAGACCTCGCCTCGGATATTCGTATATATAACCTTGTCGTTGACAAAACTGTATCCCATGCCCATCTTGGCCATAATACTTGCAAAACCAATTCTGCCAATTGCCTCGGCCGCCCCCATTTCCTCGGCCTCCCCCAGTGCCTTGTCCTCTACCTCGACCTCGGCCTCGGCCTCATGCCTGAGGTTGGGGTTGCTGAGGAGGGGTCTGTGCCGCCTGTTCCTGGTTGCTTCCTTGTCCACCTCCTCCATTATTCTTCCGCTGCTTTTTACCAGTGCCTTGCCCTCCTCGTATCTGATTCAGGGTCTTCCGTTCTGCCTTGGTCAATTTTCGAGGGGGCTCCACTTCCTCCTCGTCTTCCTCTTCACTGCTGCAACTACTCACTTCCTCCACAACGGGTGCTTTGCCCTTCCTTTTCCCCCCTTTCGTCTGGACCATCATCACTTGTAGCTTTAACCTTTCCTCCTTCATGTCAGCCATCATGTTCCGCATGTCAGTCAGGGTTTTGTAAACGGCTTGGTCCTTGTCCTCGCTTACCCCTTCCTTCTCGCGGTTCTCTTTTTGTTGCTTCAGGAGACGGTAAAGCATCTGGAGGAAGCTTCCCGCCAACAAATTCTCCTTGATCTTTGGCCAGTCGTATCGACCAGTCATATCCTTCATCAATTCCCGCTGCTCAACTTCCGAAAATTTCTCGAGGAAGATGAGGCACCGATCCTTATCAGGAAGGTCAGGCACTAAGCGCGCGACTCGTTCAAATTCTGTGAGAAACTGCTTTGCCGTACCAAACTTTCGACGATTGACTTTCCGTAAGTCCGCCAGGTCGAGCAGTTGATCCCCCAATTGGTACTTGTCCAATAACTTGGCTTTGAAGTCCGGCCAGTCGCGCGAGGCTTGCTCCAACTCCGACACCTCTTCTTTATACTCGACCATACAATATCGCTTCACCATTTGAAGCATCTTTTCACTCGTTCATTCACAACAACTGCCCAATTGTTCTAACTTGTCCGCCCATGTTGAGGCATTGGTGTCATCGAAGAGGGGAACTTGAACTTTCGGCAGTTGCGCCTTCTGATTGTCGGCCTCCCGAATGGCTCGTGCCAGTTCCAAGATGTCGTTGCGACGATCCCCTGCATTACTATTTGCGGGATCAGCACTTCCTCCCATCATCTTGGGTGAATCAACACAAAAAAAAAACACATGTCCAAGTGTCAAACGGGCTTAATAACTTTACCTTCCTTTCTTTCTCCAAACATTAACAGCCACTGACTACTTTCAATCCAAACAAACAACACACAAGACTTAAAATCACTATAACCATCATTTTCTCGAGTGTTGTTCCACCAGGGACAATGGTAGTTTGCCGTCATCCCCGGCAACGGCGCCACCTGTCGAGCGCATCGGCCCCCGCGTGAACGAAGGCCCTCCCGACTATGTCACGCAGGAGTTAGAACAAAACAAAATCAAGAGACAAATTAGGACGATGCATAAATAATCTCGCGAACCGCCGAGACGGACGCGGTTGCATTGTCCCTTCGCCGCTCTAGCCGGGTGCGCCACCTATACATCCCGCAGTCCCCTACAACAGGATAGGTTTTTGCGGGGCACAACTTACTTTCCCTGAGGGGCTATCACCGCCCTCAGGGGCGTATCCCTACGTGCGAAAGCTTTTATGTGCAATTGCAGAGGTAGGTCAGCCGAGGGCGTTTGCTCGCTCACTAGAGTATAGGTACGCTTGGTTAACGCCAAGTGGACCCGAACGCTGTCCGTTCCCGAGGGCGCAGATCTCCGCGGTACGAACGAGCGTCGGTCGACTAGGACGGCCTCGACCAAACATGAAACCCAACTTATAATCCTAGTTCCTTTATAATCCCCTACTCATAAACAACATTTCGACTTGAT